ATGCCACGAATTCCATAAAATTGCAACTTAGATAACAAAATATGATGAGATAAAGTAACGAATGCCTTCGACAAGTCCAGGAATACACTTATTGCATGTTTATTGGTATCCACATATTTAATGATTTTATCATAAACATCTAAGACAGCAAAATCTGTGGAGCAATTTTTACAAAAACCATACTGATTGCAATTAAGTATGTCATGATGAATTAAACAATCATAAAATCTATTAAACATCAATCTTTCGCGAATTTTCAAAAAACAAGGTAAAATTGAAATCGGTCTTAAATTATTGCAGTCATAATGTGTCACCTTTTTTAATGTAGGTGTAACTCTTGCGATTTTCATTTTCGAAGGGAAAATCCCTGTGTGAATCGATAAATTACATGTGTTTTGATGGTGAAACAATATATTTGATAACTAGTACTGCGTTTACACCATCGTATCAAAAACATTTGTTATTAGACATTTTCTTAACTATTACAATAACCTCTCCTTGAGTGACAAGTTTGATATAAATACTATGACTAAAATCGCCCCGTATAGAATCAGGAATAGACTACATTACAACCTATATTTGAAAAATAAATTTTGAAAACATTAGCAATTACTGCTGGTTCATCTATAATTTCATCATTATGGATAAGCATTTTAGGTGTTACAGTTTTTTCCTTCCCAAGAATAGAGTTGACAAGATTCCACGTTTTCTTTAGATCAGATTCAGTTTCACAACATGAAATTTATCAAAATAATTATTTCTCTTTGAAGATCGATTCATCAATATAATTTATTTTATTACGATATTTTGTGTACTCCCGTTTCATTTTCAGATTAAGGATTACTTTTGTACTTCTATACACAATATTTGTCTTTCTTATAGATTTCAGAATAGCAAATGTTATCCATGGTTTTTTAATTATACGTCGACAATAGGAACGTTTTTCTTTGAAAGGCATGTTTTTGTCGCAAAGTGAAATTAAACAATCTAAAACTGCATTATATGACTTATCAACATTAACTGACAAGGGTACATTAGACCAGTCAGATTTCACCTAGATCAGTAATGAGAGATGTAATGGAGGAAGCCGTGATATCACGGAAAAAAGATTAATACTCGGCATACTTAATATTCTTACAATCGGGTGATATGTGAAAGACGGGTAAGTGATCACTTATACCAGTAATACAAATTCCTGAAAATTCCTTTTGATTCATTGAATTGGTGAAAATATTGTCCAATAGTGTTGCCGAATTATTAAAAAAACAGGTTGCAATGGATACAATCCTAACGAAAATAGTCCATTTAAAAAAAATCAGTTATATTTGAGGATTTATCACATTCCAATAAATTCAGATTAATAATAATAATAATAATAATAATCCGTTTTTTATATAGCGCTCAATACAACGATCCAACGATGTGCCCAAGCGCTTTACAGATATATTATTACCCCGGTCATCGGATTCAGGCTTACCCGCACACAATGTGTGCACATTTTCCACTCCCTGGGGAGCATTCCAGCCAGTCGCCATTTTACAAGCGCACACCTGCTCGTCCAACCACATGAACGTTCGCATCCATAAAATCACCCATAAATAGTTAGGCCTACTTGTATAATTTGTGCATATATTTGTTTGCATAACTCTGTCAAATTCATTAGTAAAATCAGTCGAGTTACTAGATGGTTTACGATAAACAATCCCTAAAATTACACTTTTCTGTCCGCTACGTACTACATGTACTTCAATAAAAAGTGACTCTTCACCGTTCGTTTGAAATTGCACATGATCAAGAATACGTATCGTAAAAGTAGAATCTATAAACCACCCAACACCTCCTCCACGACCATACAAGCGAGGAGCTTGGTAAAAGGAACAACCAGAAATATTAAAGAGGCTATTTTTGTTATACATCCAAGTTTCAGTAAGTCCTATTGCAGTCAATGGAAAATTTAGCTTCTTGATTAATGATTACTTCCTGATCTTAATTACATAAAATGAATAAGGCTAAAATGATTAGGGTGAAATTCCACTTCGTTGAAGCATTTTGACTCGGATAGATTATCAAATAAACTATCGTTTGTTTGATTTTGAGAATTAAGATAGCGTAAGGAAGTGCTGGTGGCAGATTCATATAAACATTTTAGATCAGAAGAAAATTTACTAGCATTAAAGGGAGGCTTTACTACTTCAGTTAGAAGGGATTAGACCACCCAGTGATCCATCGAGGTCACTGTGACAGGTGGCTATCTCATTAACTCAGCTCTCATTTAACATAAGAAAAAGAGGATCATGGGGAACCAACAGGCACCGATTTGGGAAGTTTTCTATATAGAGGGAGCAAGTAGGGCAGTGCATGTGCCTTTAAAGAACTCTAGCAATTCAAAATCACTGACATCACGAAAGGGAAAATTATACAAATTTGGTTGATTACATTGTCAAGCTTGTATAGACATTTGAATAAATAAATACAGTATAACAAATAATTAAAAAGGTTGGGTAGAGGAAACAAAAATCCTAATCGAGTTTCTCAAGGTCATTTTGATTGCTCACCAGATCTTTGCGTCCATCCGTGGTATGCGAGAAGATCTTCCCATCGGACGACCAGGTATAGTGTTAGGATATTTCAATGCTTAATTTTAAAGAAGAGCTCTTGACGTCGGGGGCCTATCGCAATGCCAGTGTTCTTGAGTTTTGACTTAGCCGAGTACACGAGGTAACGAGCGTTGCATCTCGCGAACTTTACGATAGGTGGCTTCGATCGAGGAGGCTTTGATGAAGATGGTGCAGTCATCATTCTGGGATGGATCATGTGTCTTCTGTGGATATCGCGAGGATCAAGAATGAGTCCCATCTTCGCGGCGATGCCCAGCTAGACAACCTTATCGGTATCTCTTTGGAAGTCTCGGGGACTCCATATAGTCGAAGGCATTGGCTCACAGTACGGTAGCTCCGACGCTCTAAAATAGGGACTTTTAGATTTGCACGTCGACACAGTGGCGGATCCAGGGGAGAAGAAAAAAAAGTAAAAAAACATGATTTTTTACCTTTTGGGGGGGGTTCAATTTTCAAGGACCAAAAAAAAAAAAATGTGCTCACTGTCAGTGCCTTAAAAGGACGTCACATTGCCTTAAAGGGGCAGTCCACGTTCTCGTCGTGCAGAATCTAAAAGTCCCTAATCTTGTACTCCATAGATCGTAGCCGTAGCCGTCTTAGGCTAATAAAATCGAATTTTAGATCACCAAATTCAAGATTATACGATATAAATGTTTGAAGTAATTACTAAAATAGTAATGTCAAAGGGGAAAGAACTTCACTGCAGATGATTATGATAATTATGTGTTTTTTTAATTCTAATTAACTTTTTAAAGTTTGTAAATTAAAGTAGGGGGCCTATTGAAACTATGAATATTACCATTGGGACCTTGAACTTGATGTTTACCATTTTTTTCTGTCTTCGAATCCGCTGTGTTTTTCATTTCGAAAACACGTTATTATTTTACACTATGAATATGACGGACATAGAGGACAAAATATACAGTTCCTCAGGTAGACAAAGAAACATTTTATTTTGTCCTCTTTCTTTGTCCGTCATGTTCATAGTGTTACCTGGCGTGAATGTCTCTCGCTCTCAGTGAATGGTTCTCTCTTTAATCTGGCAAGTATTGCTTTCAGTTTATATAATTTATCAGCATATAGTGCTAATTGTCCTGCAATATCCCACAATAATCTTCTCATTAATTAAATACTTCAAATAGTTGAAAAAAATTGATAGAGAATAAGTACAGCAATATGATTTAATTGATTCTATTACTTGGCATTATGGTTAATTACTGTTACACGATGAAAATTTCGCAGAGATCAGTAAATGTTCTTTGTTTCATATGATAATTATTGTCTTTCGATCATGTATTTGATCCGCATATCGCTAATTGCTTGAATATCCAACGATGCACTTTTCTTTCATTTATATATTTCAAATAATTGGAAACATTAAGAGAGTTTTAAAGCACACAAAATAGTGAACTAAAGATGCTTGCTCTCTATGAATGCAGAAATGCATTTCCCCCCTCATAATTACTTTTGTAGAATCCAATTTGTTTTAAATGCATTTCCACTAACTTGGATGAAATAACTTTTTTCAATCACATTTTTAATTTGTATTGTGTAATACCAGCTCTTTGTTCGTGTTCCTCTTCCTCTCTCACTCTATCATTCTCACTCTCAATATCTCTCTCTCTCTCTCTCCGTTCTCCGTCAACGTTCCTTCCCTTTTCTCTCTATTTTCTGGCTCCCCATTATCCTTTACTTCTAATTGCTTACCTTTCTGCGTTTTACCTTTGCCTGATATTCATCAATTGGTTTTCATATCCATATGTTCACAATGGTTTTTTATGCAGTAAAATAACTTTTTTATGATCTTGAATTATTGTTAAATATTAAACAGCATGTATAAATATGATGTTTTTAATCAAATATTTGTAAATCGTGCATGCAATTCATCCTTTAGCTGTGATATGTTGATGAATTAACTTACCTTACCATACCTTTCTTTGAAAGGGTAAACGTCCCTTAATTAAAAAATGAAATTAAAAAAATTCACTTGTGTTTATCTGTCATAATTAATCTTAAAGGTAAAGACCAGTTATGGTCATGCGATTGCATAGTGAAAGAAACGTTGTGGAATCGATCAGAAAAGGTTGATCATCTAGCATATAAGTATTGGTGTGTACTACAAGGTTCTGGAATCATCAACATGATAAGAAATTTGGCCCAGTCTTCGTAAAGTTAAAGCACTGTACACAGAAAGATGTATATGGGACTATACGCACACGTGCGCGACACGTGCGTTTATCTCTCACAGACCATGTAGATAAACTAATTTACCAAAAATATCAATTAGTAGGCGGTTTCCCGGCAAAATTTTTATCATCATGTGTTAGTCAAAACATATTCTTTCACATGATTGGTAATAAGAGCTTCCATTTCATTTTTTTGAAATTGGGGCGTTTCCAATACTGGTCTTTACCTTGAAGTATTCCCGAGTGTGGGACCTGTATTTATTTTCTGCAAAATTCTAAAACCTTTAGATATAGTTAAAATCGTGCATAGATCTGTTGAAGTATATAGCGGGAAATAAAAACATTAAAAAAAACTTAAATTGCAGCCGCACAGTACCGGGAAATAATATACATATAAATATATTTAGCTAAACACTTAATGTTTACTTAGTATCATTTGTATCAATTGTAGTCAAATTTAGTGCACAATGTTAGCTTATATGTAATATGTTCATAGCTGTGACAACGGCGCAAGGGAAATAAAGTAATAACATTATGAAATAAAAACATTAGAGGGAAAATATGATAAAAGAGAAAGGGGGAAAGTCAAAGACAAGATCGGCGAATTTCAATTTCCGAATACCCTCGGCGTTATGATGACGTCAAATTGTGGTGGGCTGTACGTGAGTCCGAAGTTGCCTTCGTTTACGTTCGGAGTTTCTCGGCAGTCCTCGGGCAGCCGAAAAGTAAACCATCGTACTAGATTGGTGAAGAACACAAACAACATATGTTCGGCAAGGCATCGTCCGAGACACATTCGCCTCCCTAGTATATAAAAAAAAAAAAACAGAGATAAACAAAGTCACACACAATTATTCCCTTTCCCTTTTTCATATCGGTTCAGTTCAGTTCATTTTTTTTAAACACCAGACATAGCAATCATGAAGAACAAACATGATCCAAATTGAAACCAAAAAAGCTATGCTTGTGAGTGGGGCCCCTGGGAAAAGATGGACTTCTCAATCCCGGCGGATTGGCAAAGAGACTAACGTGTTTCAAGGATCTACACTGGAGGGGTTGAAAACCCGATGAGCATCCATATTTCCTACAGTACTGAAGTCTACGTCGTGTCCTGGCCCATAATTCCCCGGTCATTATCTTCTTTAAATAGTAAAACTTCAAGATGATTCCTCTCATTTTTCTTTCTTTCTTGCTTGGAGCGGAGTTCACAAATATTGTGCCCCCTCTCTTTAAAGGCCCCCTGCACTACTTGTAGCTACTTGCGCCCTCTATATAACAAACAATGCCTAATCGGTGACCATTGGTCCCCCATGATCCTCTTCTTCTTATGTTAACTGAGAGCTTAGTTGATGAGATAACCACCTGTCCAGTGACCTTGCAGGGAGGTCTAATCCCTCCTGTAAACTACGGCAGATAAAGCTTTAAGAATCCTGTATCCGCTCCCGACATCACTGTTTAAGTCCCGTACAGTCCAGTGCTATATAGAACATTTATTTACTTATCTCTTTTTTTAGCTTTGTAACTTTAAAATCTGGAGCCCTTTCTGGGTGACTTGCTTTTTTAGTCAAAGAATGAAAAATTGAGGATGAATAGAAAATGACAGCTCGTACGTAGGCTTACACCTAGGTAAATAATGCATACCTATTTAAATCATTGTGCGAAAAAATGGCAAGGGCAGTATAATCATCATACTATATATACTAATATAGGGGTCTGGATACAGAACTAAATTCTCTTGAATGTTATACTTCGTTCTTGGGTTTGTTTAAGATTATAACCAGAGTTTTTTTTTAAATAGTAATTCAACTCGTTTCCTTCTGTTAATGCTACGTGTAGACCTACCTTCTCCAAAAGAAATAATTGATTCTTTCAATTTGGGGTCAACTCGGCCAGAGTCGTCTAGAAATCTAGCCGGATTGAAATCGTGCGGTTTATTCCAGACGTTCCGGTCCCTGTTGATAGCCCACTCGTTCACCCAAATCTCCGTCCCTCTTGGAATGGAATAACCCAAGACGGTGAGATCCCTCGTGGTAACGCGTGGTAAAGATAGCGGTGCGACGCACGCGCATCGAAGTAATTCCAGTATCGTTGCTTGCGTGTACGGCAGAGATTTGCGTTGGTCGTAATTTATGACGTCATCGGGACCGTATAGAGCCATGTTCTCGTCAATCTCCGAGTGCACCTAAGAAGGGTACAAGTTTGTACGACATAACATTACAGGCAATTCGGTTTACAACAAGTTTTCTTGAGCAAGAGAAAACTGAATTGGCATGCCCTCAGAAACTAAGAGTCAGAGTCTAACATGGCGGGTCAAACTTCAAAAAACGCACCAGTCACAGACGCAGTTCTACGGTCAGCAAAATAACGCCTCATGTACCAGTGTCCACATAAATTGGCACACGAGGCATTATTTCCTGCTCAATCAATGCTGTGCAGGAAATTCGCCAATAGAGCTATCGCCGGCCGTGCACCTCTCTGCGCGACTGCTCTACGACGGATTTCGTAAAGAATCCTTGTGGGTCTGCAGGAGCTTTTTCGACAAGTCCGAAAACAAAAAAATCTCTCGTGAAACATGCAGCCGTTTTACGTCTTTGCTAGCATCTCAAATGCTTCTCGCAAGCATCGCCCAGGCTACGCATGGCGCAGCTAGTACACAGCCATACCGAGACGAAAGACATTGCACGGCAGTTGCATGCAAGGCACTTGCGCGGTGGTTATGAGTTTACCTCAAGGACTCTTGCAAGAGGTGATTATGTTTTGAGGAGGGGGCAAGGTACCCATGAGGGATCGTAAGAAGGACGTGCGAATCGTATTAGCTAGTCTGTACCCCCCCCCCCCACCCCCACCACCACCACCACCACCACCACTACAGCTGTGAAAACGCAGTCCAATTATATTGCTTTCTAAAAACGTAAAATGGTCACCTGACGCTGGACATCCGGGAAAAGACAGAGGTAGAGGATGCCCCAAAGAAGGGTTTCTGAAGTTGTCTCTGTTCCGGCCCCCATCAGGTCAAACATCACTCTCCAGACGTCTTCTTCCTCCACAGCTACTTTCCCGCCATGTTGTGTCTGCTGTAGGTAGCAATCTGTCACATCAGTAATATATTCCTTACGATTCCCATCTTTGCATTTTCCGTCGTCATTCCCTACCAGTCTCAACTTGTGATCTTTGACAACTTCTCTCATGAACTGAGTGTACTGCTCTATGTCCCTGCGGAGTTTACTGTACAGCGGTGTGTGATAGAGATGTGGAAAAATATGCCCAAGAGATATGCCCGACAGGCCCCTCGATATATTATGCTGGGCTTGCATAATATCAGCTATCTTAGGGTCGGAGCGGACATCGACGCAATGTCCGAAACACAGAGAAGAGATGATTTCGGCAATCGCCGAGGTGATTTCTGATCTTGGGTTGCAGTGCTGACCATTGAGGCTTTGTAGTGAGACGCGTAGATGCTGCCAGGAACTTTTCACCGTCGCACCCAAAGTTGACGGTGAACTAAGACTTTTCCGAAATGCCGTAAGCGTAGTCCGTCGACTAGACTTCCATTTGTCTCCATTTTCCCATATCACGCTACCTATAACAATTTAAAACAGAAATGAGAAATTATCGCATTGAGATCCACACGAGGCATCATTTTGCTGACGTAGTATTGCGTCTAGATTCTAGAACTATCGTGGTCTCTGGCGCGCCCTTTTTGAGTGACCCCTTACCAATAGATGCTAACTGCCCGCTCAGATAATAACGCAATCGAAAAGAACCTCATGTGCAACTTACTTACAGTGCAACTTTAATGAGTTATAAAATAATTAAAGACTAGCGGTCGTTTGTTCTCTGTAATATACTTCAAACAAATCATACAACACCATCTTTATGTAATTGTAGCATTGCCAGGGGCGAGTCTGAGCGAAATATTGGCCGACGCGATTTTCAAATTTCGGGGAGGCTTGTAGTGCTCACTGCCTCCCCCCCCCCCCCCCCCCCCCCCCCCCCCTCCCAGTTGAAACCAGTTAATACAACAGTTACTGGTAAACTTCCAGTATATCCCAGTTAAAACACGTTGACTCTACTGACATGCTGAAAACAACCAGTAGATACCAGTTGAAAACCAGTAGATGATTAACAGTTGAAAACCAATAGATGATTACCAGTTGAATTACCAGTTGAAATCAGTAGATGATTACCAGTTGAAAACTAGTACATTACCAGTTGAATTACCAGTTGAAACCAGTAGATGATTACCAGATGATTTACCAGTTGAAAACCAATAGAATGATTACCAGTTGGAACCAGTAGATGATTTGCCAGTTGAAAACCAATAGATGATTACCAGTTGAATTGCCAGTTGAAACCAGTAGATGATTACCAGTTGATTTACCAGTTGAAAACCAATAGATGATTATCAGTTGAGTTACCAGTTGCAACCAGTAGATGATTTCCAGTTGATTTACCAGTTGAAAACCAATAGATGATTACCAGTTGAATTACCAGTTGAAACCAGTAGATGATTTCCAGTTGATTTACCAGTTGAAACCAGTATAATACCAGTTGAAAACCAGTTCATTGTACCGTGTGCATATTCATGCTTAATTTGCATATTTTCACAGAAAATATAATTATCATGATCTGTCAAGCAAATGTGACAATGCACATCAATTTTGTGATTTATGTTTTCTTAGTCAATTATTGAGAAATATATGATATATGTCTGATCATGTTTTACATCTAATTTAAGACGTACAAATAGATATAAAGATATATGTAATTAATAACCAGTCAAAACATGTATAATTTTGTATATATGTATACACGATCTCTCAATTCTTTAATTAGCATTAGACTCTACTGCAATTCACTTCAAATGAACTTTGTGATGGGGCAATTGCAAGAGTATATACAACATTTCATTTAGTTGGTGGCCAGATGCCATATAATATTGATTATTGATTGTTGAATGATAGTCGCTACTGAATAATCAACTGGCAATAACTGGTTTTCAGTACCAGTTGACAACTGGTATTCCAACTGGTACAATGCAGTACAAGTTGATTCCATTTGATTTCAACTGGTACTAGTACCAGTTGATTTTACTATACCAATTTCCATAATGAAACCAGTTCACTTAACTGGAATCAACTGGTACCAGTTCCCAACTGGTGGTTTTAACTGGTCCTAACTGGTACTAGTTGACAACTGGTTTTCCAACTGGTACCAGTACTACCAGCTGATTCCAGTTGATTCCACTACCAATTTCCATATTGAAACCAGTTCACTTAACTGGAATCAACTGGTACCAGTACCAGTTGATTCCAACTGGTCCCCAATTGTTTTTTGACCGTACGTGCGCGGCGTGTTTGTGTCACAACTATCTTATTTGCATAATACACCATATACGGCGAACAGATCGACAGATGGATCGTTTATACTAGTCTAAGTATAATTATACTTATAGAACTGCTCACCTTTAGTTGAAAATGCCAGACCTATTAGTGGCGGTATCCGTCTATCAGAAGCGCTGTCAGCGTTTTTAACAAGAACCTCCTTTACAACGGCCAGACTAGTCAACACGACAGTCTTTGGACCCGGCCCTAGACTAATTCCTATAACCGGTCCATATCTATCGGCGAAACGAGCAAGAGCCTGATGCGGCTGTCCGCCGGGGAGTATGGACGGAAGGTGCCCTAAAATCGGCCATGCCCACGGACCGGGAGGATGCGTTGAGCAAGTTGTACCCGAAGTCGACCTGCACCTTGCAATGAGAAGCGAAGTGAGCACGGTAGACAAAACAAAAAGGACGACTGTTTCCGTCGACTGTGTCAATAACATGGAAAGTAAAGTCCACATGGCTGCTGTCAACCTCGCATGTCAGTGAAGAAAAATACACCTTTTGCTATACCAAGCTAGCTGCGAACACATCACGTATCAAGCAAGACAGCAATTACTGTTTGCTTCTATTATCATGCTTATGAATGAGCTGTATTCCGGACCTGTTCCGGTCTCGTTTCCATTGACCCGATGACACAGACTAGTCTGCAAGCACAGACTCTTAATTTGACATTTTACCACAACTCTAAAACCTTAAGGACGGTATTTTATATGTGAATGAAGAAAAATTATTAAGGATGATGAAACAGTTCTACAGGAAATTCATGAATATTTTGAAAAAGTGTATGTTAAGGAATGCACGAATGTTCATGTTGATAAATATTTTAAAGATTTAATCATTAGTACTCTGACCGATGAAGAGGCATCGAAGTGTGAAGGGTTGCTAAGTGACAAGGAATGTGAAGACGCATTGTAATATTTGGGTAATAACAAAGCCCCTGGAAGTGATGGTCTTAGTGCTGAGTTCTACAAGGTTTTTTGGTTAGAAATTAAAGATTTGGTTATTGCAAGTTTAAATGAGGGGTATCACAAGCAAAATTTATCTTCTTCCCAAAGGCAGGGTCTTGTTACGTTGCTATTCAAGAAGTGGGATAGGGGCCCGCGGAACGGCGGGGATCGGGAGCCCCCAGCTCCCCCCCCCCCCCCCCCCCCAATTTTTTTTGGAAAGCATTTTAAAGAGAAATAGAAAGAAAGAGAGCAAGAAAGAAAGAATAGTTAACAACCAATGTCACAACAAAATAAGGTATCAAAGATTCCCGCCCCCCCCCCCCCCCCCCCACTAACAGGTCGGAATGACCGCATGCGTGTTGCCAAAATGTCCGGTAAAGGGGTACTTTTCGTGCGACAAAGTCCGGCCCGAGAATTGTAAATAAAGGGGTGTATTTGAATTTTCACTCGGAAATTTCTTTAAAAAGGGGGTGTTTTTCTGTTGTTCTCTCATCTCTTTGGACTCCTGAGAAAATATTCCGAATTTAGGGGGGTACATTGAGCATTTTTCCTGATTTAGGGGGGTCTCCAAGGCAGGAAAAGCCCGTGAAAAGCCCGCGAAAGGGGGGTTCGGAAATGTTGGCAGTCCTCAGATAGGGGGTGCTTTCAAAAAGAGGGTATGAGCATATGCTTACCCTAAATAACACTGAGTGGGGGGGCCGGGCAAAGATTGCTCATCTGACCGTAAATAAACGCTTAAAACCCCTGAGCTTCCGGGGGCTCTGCCCCAGGACCCAACCAAGGGCCCTTGGGCAGGCCCCTTGATACTCATCTGACTGCAATTTAGTGCCTAAAACCCTTTATCTTCTGGGGGCTCCGCCCGCTGGACCTCACGCCAATTAGTGTCCTGCCAGTGTCACAAATAAAGTATAAAAATATGTTCATCTGACCGTAATCAAATGCCTAAACCCCTGAGCTTCCGGGGGCTCTACCCCCTGGCCCCCACTGGATGCTTATCTGACGGTAATGTAATGCTTAAAACCCCTGGGCTTCTGGGGGGCTCCGCCCGCTGGACCTCACGCCAATCAGTGTCCTGCCAGTGTCACATATGTTCATCTGACCGTAATCAAATGCCTGAAACCCCCGAGATTCAGGGGTTTCCGCACCCTCGACTCCACCAGGGGCCCTGAGGCGGGCCCCTGGATGCTTATCTGACCGTGATTTGCCTTCGACCCATGAGTTTCCGGGGGCGGACAAGGTATCAAAAGATGTTCATCTGATCGCAGGCGCGTAGCCAGGGGGCAGTGGGGGCGCCCCCCCCCCCCCCCCCCTCCTCAAAAAAAAAAAAAAAAAACGCCGGCCAAAAAAAGAGAGGAGAGAAAAGGAAAAAGACGTATGAAGGAAAAGGAGCAGGCAATAAACATTTTTGAAATTCAGACAAGGATTAAGAGTCGGAGACGGAACAACGAATCGCCTTCTTTCTCTGATGATTTAATGAAACGTAAAAGCTTCCGCGCTTTGCGCGGAGGGGGGGAACTGTATTCAGACGAGGATTATTTTCGAGAACGGTACAACGAATCGTCTTGTATCTCTAATAATTAAATTAAATGTCAAAGCTTCCGCGCTTCGCGCGCGCGGATGGGGGGGAGGCAATTGAATTCAGACGAGGATTATTTTCGAGAACGGTACAACGAATCGTCTTGTTTCTCTAATAATTAAATTAAACGTCAAAGCTTCCGCGCTTCGTGCAGGAGGTGGGGTAACTGAATTTAGACAAGGATTAAGAGTCGAGAAGGGTACAACGAATCGTCTTCTTTCTCTAATGATTTAATGAAACGTAAAAGCTTCCGCGCTTCGCGCACGCGGATGGGGGGAGGAACTAAATTCAGACGAGGTTTAAGAGTTGAGAACGGTACAACGAATCGTCTTCTTTCTCTAATGATTTAATGAAACGTAGAAGCTTCCGAGCTTTGCGCGGGAGGGGAAAACTGTATTTAGACGAGCAGGCACGTACCCCTCTTCGGTTTTTTATGTGTGTATTGTATAGCATCCCCCCCCCCCCTTTTTTGTGATGTTTTTTTATTTATTTATTTATTTTTTAATTTAATTTTTTTTTTTTAAACTATGCCAATGGCTGACCTAACGGAACAAAATGTCAAATTTTTAAATTTCGAGACCCAAAAACAAAAAAAGGTGTCATCTCCCCCCCCCCCCCCCTTCCGCTTATTCAGCAGCTGGCTAAGTCGTTGCGATTTTTGGGGGGACCAAAAAAAAAGTGGGCCCCCCCCCCCCCCTAAGAAATCCTGGATCCGCGCCTGATAGCGCCCTCTCAAGACTGATATTTATTTAGCTTCATAAGAATGTTTTTAGTACATTTGACCGATTTGCTATTCTCATTTGGAAATTATATATTAGAACTGCATATTCTGAGATTTTCATGGTTGCAGCTACCATTGAATTGCCTTATAGTTGCTATTTGAAATGTTTAAAATTTACCCGGAGCACCGGTAAATTTTTTATTATTCAATTTCTCGAACGCAGAAGTGTTTTAGAGGCTAATTTTTCTAGTGCTTATAATACATCCACAGGGGCATCCAAATATATCAACATTTTAAATAATTACTATCAATCCAATTTTCAAAATTTCCCAAAACTTTGCAATACCTTTAAAAAAGTGCATATGGGGTGTGTGTGTTGTGTAACATGTGTGTGTTTGTTTTGCACTTTCAAACCTGCTTTAGCAACATGTTGTATATAAAGGCAGGTTCTAGGACACCTACCCCCCTGGACAACCACCCCGGATAACCACCCTCTATGACAATTACCCCCTAGGACAATTAACGCCTATAGGGCAACCACCCTCTAGGACGAGTACCCCCTATATAAAACAATTCCCCCCCCCCGGATAACTACCTCCAGACAACTACTTTTTTCTAGATATTCCCTGTAAAATGATAGGAAAACTAATATAGTGAGTTATCATTTTTCGCATTACGTATGTCATCGAATTAAATCCTAAACTTCGCTGATAAAAAATAAATTGATTCTGTATCTCCTCAATCTCAGTTTCCAGTGACATGGCTGCTAGTAGTGTTAATGTTATTGGTAAAGACAGAGACTTCATTACTACTTGCACAGGATGATTCTAGAAACACAAGGATGAGGGTAATATCACATGGCACTCTATTTCATCCCATATAAGAAGATTAAGATAACCTTATCTGGGTGAAATACCTCCCCGTTGCATTGAAAGATCTAGGATTAGGTGGAGAAAGTCCCAACATTTTGCTGCCGGTACAAATTACGAAAAACATAAAATGTATGCATGGCGTGTTGGACATTCTTTAATTTACAAAAGAAATATCACTTCAAAAAAATATATCACTTTAAATATGTACTGTTTGCATAATTATGTATCCATACAAAAAGGAAAATCTGATTTTTTAAAATTTTTCTTTATTCCTTCTATTTTAAGACTTATTCCACAGAGGTCACTGTGACAGGTGGCTATCTTATTAAAGATAAACTTGAGTTCTGGTAATGCGATTGCATTGTAAAAGAAAAGGTGTGGAATGGATCAGAAAAGTTGATCATATAGCATGTAAGTAATGGTGTGTAATGCAAGGTTCTGGAGTCATCAAAATCATCATAAATTTGGCAGAGTCTTGGTAAAGTAACAATCACTTACACAGAAAGATGTATATGGGACAACACACATGGTGTCGGGGCTAGTACTACCCTGATTTCTTTATCTTTCTATGCTCATTACTCAGCCAGTATACATTTTCTTCCAAAATTGTTTGGCACGTGACATTTATTTGTAATCTTGAACATTCAGTGTAAGTTTCGTTAGATTCTGTGAGAATCCATTTTCATTTTTACCAGAACTCAAGGTTATCTTTAACTCAGCTCTCATTACATTAAGAAAAAGAGGATCATGGGGGACCAACAGGCACCGATTGGGGAAGTTTTCTATATAGAGGGTGCAAGTAGATACAAGTAGGACAGTGTGCCTTTAAAGAAATCATTCCAATGTGTAGACTGCTTTAAATAATTATGTCCTTCATTTGAAGACCAGGTGAAAGATATTGCACGAGCTTCTCGGCCCTCTCCGAGTTCTTCTTGATGACTAGGGTGCAGAGATAACGACTGCACCTAGAACCTTGAACTTTTTGTTACACTTCTTTTAGAACTTTACAGATTTTGCATCTTTCCAGCGTGCTATCGTGACAAAATCTACGATTTCTATATAGTAGCATTTTAGCTGGGTTGTGGCAGATTTGGTAATGGTGAAACGAGCTGCTTTGCAAGAGTGAAATTTTAATTGTATTCATTATATCAAATAATCTAATGAGACACCTGTGTACTTTAACAACATTATTAATGTCACAATATGCATTTCGGACAGTATGATACCCAAATGAAATGTTTACTCAGCATACAAATTCCACAAGTTCTGCAGTTATGATTCTTTTACGTGACATAACAATTTAAATACAATGTGCCAATTTTGTTTGCTTAGTACAGTTATTCTTATCTCAATCTTGATCTGCTAATAGCACAGACCAAGTGCTTGTTTCCCCTCCAACTACGGGTATCAGTGTTATATAAGGAATCTACCTAAAGTACTCCATGCATTTTAATA